TGCTTATGTATTTTTTAGATTTTTTGGTAATAGAAATAATTACTTACATAGAATCTCGTTTTAAATTTTCAATTACAATAAAAATTCGTTATTCGTTTTTGAATTACAACAAAATAAGGAAACCGCTACATGAAAAATCGAGTGAATATCCAATATTGCAAAATTATGAACTTTAAACGCTTATCAAAATTTATGTATAATATATATTATAATTTTTAAAAAATAATTTGGGGCTTAAGCCCCCCCCCCCTAAACATTTTTCCTATTTGCGCCACTGAGTATAAAATAAAAATATATGTTGAAAGTTGTAATGTTAGGTAGGTACAAAGGACCTAATTCTATAACTTATATTACGAGTTAGGACCCGCATAGGTATACCTAGTTGGGGCATTTATAATACATATAATAACTAAATAAATATTAAATATACATTACTATTACTAGGTATTTAGAATTTACTATATTGCACGTTTGTACCAATTGTATTGTTGTAACTTAAATAAATAAATAATTGCATGTAAATCGAATTTCAAAAATCACTAACTAGTTAGAGGTATGACTGTACGAGGTACCTACTTTCCTACCTTAACGTGTAGGCTCAAACTTAATATGATCCTTAAGATGCTATCAATGTATTGTATATAGATACATATAAATAAATTATACCATTAAAAAGATATAATATATATGACATATTATTATGTTAATCAATAGGTACATAAAATTATATTAAATTTATACATTATTAATTATATGCTTACAAGTTACAATAAATTAATAGTACTTCTTAGTGAGCCTTGGACGAACTGAGATTATGAACCATACGCTATTATTCATTGAAGCATGATCAATTATATTAAACTCATAAGTAATCCAGTAAATTTTTGTTGAAAGACTTACATAAAATATTTATGTATAATGTATAATTAACATTTAATGTGGTAAGTATTAAATTTAAAAAAAAATGTATTAAAATAAACGATAAAAACATTCATAATAATTGATTTGTGTGGGTACAATACTTAAGATATTTTAATTAATTAAACTTCAATTTTGTGGGGCTCCGGTTTGATTACAAATTGTTACATGATACCAAACAGTTTTCGTGTCAAAATTTTAACCTTGGGGTGCCAGGGTAGCACACTAGCACACCTGTCTAAGTTTATGTTTTAGACGTAGGTAAATGATGTATAAAATATTTATTGAATAAATAATTGAAAAAGCTCTAGCCGTTTAATAATAAATTGTCATGTTGTACTTCACGAGTTGTTAATATTTTATGAACCTTTTGGCTTTTTATTTCCATGGTGGTGGCCAGTGGGGGGTACCCAAAGGCCAAAGCTTCAAATGTTTAGGTTGAAATTTCAAAAGTACGAACCTAAATCTTTATTCTTAAATCATAATACATGTATGGCGAATAAATTGGTAAGAACCCATCATTGTGAAAAATCACAATGTCTATACACAAAATTATATTCACTTTTACATTGTTTTTAGTTTTTATTTCCTTATTTCCAGACGGCCACACCGGAAGGCAAAAAGTAACAATAATAGGCAATACAATTATACTAACATATATTATCAAATATTTTAATATACCTATACCTATACTGGATATACTTAATTCTAATTATTTTTTTGCTTTTTTTCTAGGTACTTTATTTTATTTCTTACTACTCAGTCGTCATATTTATATTTTATAAATGTAATTAAGTATAATTAGGTAAAATGTTAAATGTTATTTTATTAGTTAAATAATTATTCATATTTGTTTTAGTTTGTATAATACAGAAATATAGTACAAATATAATACACTAATACAGCATTAGATACTGCAAGTCTTCCACAAAGATATAACTTTAATAGTCCATTAAATTTTGGTGTTGAGTGTATAGTAGACCCATATTATTGATGATGTAGGTATCAGTCTGCCATTTGTCAATTATACTGAAAATACAAATAATATACATTAAACATTGACATATTTTTTCTATCTAGAAAAGTCATCAATCTACTGATACCTAGTATAAGAATTTTAAAAAATGGCTTTGACACAACTTTATTTTATTATCGGGGGCGCACACAACACGGGAAATTATTCCTGAGGAAGAATAATATTCAGGAAAATATTTACTAGGAATATTTTTATCCCAGGAAAGCATTGTTGGGGAAAATATTAAATTGGAATAGTGTAATCGGGAAAGTATATCATAGGAAAACATTACACAGACATAGTGCTATCGGGAAAGTTTAACACAGGAAAAATAAAATTAGGAAAACATTATCCAGGAAAGTATTATACCGGAATGTTATACTTAGGAATATATTTAATAGGAAATATTACCCAAGAATAATATTTAACAGGGAATTAATATTTCGGACAAATAATAACGAAGAATTTAAAACCCAGGAAATTATTACACAGGAAAATATTATACAGGAAAGTATCTCATAGGAAAATATAACATGGCAAAAATACTTTACAGGAATAAAATAGTTAAGGGGCTAGAAATAGGCATTTTATGTACAAATTGCCAAATAAAACCATTAAAAAATAGATAGGTAGACATGGGCGCTCATTGGTGGGGGGGGGCATAAGCGCAATTTGTAATAGCCCCCCCACCAAAAAAAAAGATAAAAATATTATTCAATTGTTTCCTAAAATATAAATAAATCTTTAAAAATTCAACTCTATTTCAATTTTTTTTTTTAAATGTAATTATTTAATTTTTATTTAAACTTTATAATTATATTATATTATTGTCTATGCTAAATATGATAAAATTATCATTAGCTGTTTACCCAGCGCTATATCTCAGAAATTTGACGCACGGGGCTAATAAAAATTCAGCACCCTTACGTAAATAGAGGCACGTGGTGTGCCGGGTGTCAACTGTCAACACAAAAATATTTAATTACAAATCAAAAGGTATATTTTATATAAAAATATTTTTATTGAAACCATTGTTTTCATATTATTATATACCGTATGTACGCGAAAACTTGGATCACTATAACTCACTTACCCTACAAACTCAATAGGTACTCAGTACAATGACTAAATAGATCTATTTAGTCATGCTCAGTACTCTATAGTCTATACATATTTGAGAATTCTACAAGAGGATGATTCAATAGTCTAGTTTCATGATTTGCAACAGAATTAAGAAAACCCCCGACGAACCATCACTGAAATACATCCCCGACCCTAGAAAAAATAACAATCAGACTACAATATTACTGACAACGAATATTACGTATCAAGATCAAATATTGTTTAAAAGCTAATTAGTGGAATTACTACATTAATATTTGATATTTTGATTACAAATATATACTTATAATATAGGTACCTAGTACCTACTTATCACAAAAAAAATAATATTTAGGTACCTAATGAATAATTTCCAAGCATTATAAATATTATTATTTTGTTTCATATCAAGATTTGTTACAACATTATGTTAATGGTTCATTTAAAAGATTTGGTACCAGCTACATTCATTAACTATTTGTATTATTTGACGTATCGATCATTCGAAATATTTTATAATTTTTAAATATTGTATCTATGTGTAAAACTTGTGAAAACGAGTAACGACTCCTAATAATAATTAAAATTATTAATATTTACATTATCGTCAAAATATTATTAGGAAACGTAATATTTTATTTCCGGGATAATAGGTATATAATATAAAACAAAATATTATTATTAAATGTTTGAAAATTATAAAATAAATATCATGGCTAATTTATTATTATTTGAATATATGATAAATATAAAAGTAAGTTAAATTGTATTCAATAACTAGGGGCTGTACCTACCTATATATTTTTAACTTTTAACATAGATTGTTTTTTTTTATTTTTATGTTTCGTAGCCCGTAGGTAAGTGGCGCCGACTGACATTTTTCATAGTCTGGTCAACACTCAAAAATGTTACAAGACCACTACCCCGTTTCATTCACAACATTATCGCTGCGGGGGGCATTGCCCACCACCCCCTATAATAAAAAAAAACTATTCATATTCGTACTTCTTATATCTGATAATTTATTATAATAAGTTTAATAATTACAAATCTTTATTATTATATTTTTTATTTATTATTTTACAATGGTAGCTACAATTTGCAATATATTATAATAATTAAAAGTTAAGGTTTCAGTTAAAGCTGGCGAACTACTCGCAAAATTGTCAATTACTTTTTCTGTGTTAACAACTATATCCGTTTCACATGATATGAGCATGAGATCTTCGAGACGATTATTTAAAATCAAGTATGTTTTTTCGGACAAGATTGCTCATATATTTTAGTGTGTCTATTAACAGCTTATATGGTGAATGTGGTTGCTGTGGAATACTAAATTTGTAGGATATAAAACGAAAGAAACGAATTTGGATTGCATTGTATTATGAATATTTGCAGAAGGTTACCAAATAATAGAATTATATTCAAGAGTAGAACGTACCGAAGAGAAATATAAAGTTTTTAATGAAATGAGATTTGAAAAATCCTTACATGTCCTAGTAATAAATCCAAGAATGGATGATGATTTTTTTGAAATATTTTATAATGCCTATTAAAAGTTGAGTCAAACAGTACACCTAAATCAGTATTTTCAAACACAAGATAAAATAAAATATTATTTAAATAATAGTTGTGGAGAACTGGAGCCAGTGACCTAAAAAAGTTACATAGAGCACATCCCGGGCCCTTAGTCGGTCCTAGCCGACGGCCACTGAATAAATAAATATATTACCTTTGTAGTAAAGCTATGCTTTTACTATGCTTTCACAGGATTATATTGGTACAGACAAATAGGGTCCATAGTGAGGATAACTATGATACATTAAACGCTTCAAGCTCAAACTCAGAAACAAATATGCAATAATCATTATTTTTACAAAATACCTTTTAATATTTGTACTACTTGTGTACATAATAATAATAATTATCAACAAATAACATTATTTTATGAAAAATAATATTTACACTACCAAATGCGTAAATTTGAAGTGAATATACTGTTACATATTGGACAGCGTTCTGAAACTAATGATTCTAAACACATTAAACATAAAGATTTATGTCCACATGGAGACAAGGCGTGAGTACTTTCCGCATCAAGACAAGCAACACACATATTTGCTTGGTTTTCTGTTTCAACAGCAGGAAGAACTTCATGTACTTGGACTTGGACGTAAGGTAAATTTTGCATTTCCAAAATTCTCCTATTTTCTTCAATTTCCATCATATAAATAATGTCTGGATCTAACTCTTCAGGTATTACAAGGAATGTTATATTCTATAGAGATTAAATTAAAATTACATGAGTAACATTTTCACAAAAAAAACTTTACTATATACCTACTATACTATTATGGTTTTACTATACCTTGTTCGATATTATTATGCCAATTAATTTCTTGTCTCAGATAAGTTTCTGTGCTATGTGAGCATTGCAAAAGAAACTCCTTAACAGTAATAATACCAAGAGTTAGCTGTCTTGTAGCAGTCATAATTCGCTCAGAGTTTGCCAGATACTTCATTTTTATGGGACGTGTAACTCTCTGACCTCTTTCCAGTTGTTGAATAATAATATGGTTTTTTTTACTTAAATTGTTTAGATGTTCTAATTTTATAATAACAAAGACAAAAAAACCATAATTGATTAATAATATAAATTGTAATAAATCTAGTACATCCAATTAAATTTAAATCAATCACCTAAAAATGTCCATAGATTAGGATGAACAGTTTGGAATTTTTCTTTAAGCTGGCTATGGAATGACTCAATATTATTATTGGTTCTTCGAGGAACACCGTGAACCGAAAACACTTCTGGTCCTCTTGTCTGTATCCAATAACTTGAAACCATAATATTATAATGTTAAGTGTAAATTTAATCAATTTAAATTTTTACGAAGTCTTAACTCAAAATAATTTGCTAATTTTCGTGATTTTTCCATATTTTGTCAATTTTTGAACTTTAAATGCTTATAAAAAAACTGTGACTAACGATTTTTAATATTTTTCATCTGCCTTTGAAACAATATACTAGGAGCCTTCTATTAAATTTTCAAGTTTTTTTAACCAACAAATAAAATTTTATTGATATTTCTAGAAAAAAAACTAAAATAAAATGAAAAATGAAAATGTCCCTAAACAGTTCAAAATAAATCAAAATATTTATAAAATGTTATCGTGTATAGAAAATAAAAATATAAACAACCAGTGAAAATTTCATGTATCTACGGTCATTTGTTTTAAAGTTACACCAAAAACCAAATTCAATTTTCTGAAAAATCGATTTTGCGTAAAAATTCCTGTTTTTCCTTAATTTTTCTTTTGTTTTTCTTGGCGCTTTTGAAAAGTACTGGGAATTTGAAATCTTGACCTCCCCAATGCACCAACGATATTCACTTTCCAATCGAACAAGATACTGAAGTCGAAAATCGAAGCATTATTTCGACTACTTATCGTGTACACAGACACAAAAAAAAAATTTTAAAAAAAAACACATCATTGTAAAATCAATACACTCATCGTTTTACTCAGAATCTAAAACGTTTTAATAATTGGTAAAAAAAATATTACATTTTGAGTAGTGGGTGGGTGGGTCAAGTGGCGCCGAACTCTACATTTAGTTAATCAATTGCTTCACATGATATATGAGTTCGGCACCACTGAGTTGGCCGATAGTGGGCCTAGTAGTGGTTGAAGGGGGGCCTGGTCCACTTTTATTTTAGTGTGTAGGTTTGGAATTTTGGATGAATCAAAATGTTGATTTAGATATAACGCCAATATGTTTAAATTATTTTAAATATGCACTGACAACAATCATTCATACAATCACGACAATTCTTAATATCCAATTGTACAATATATTATGTCATTATTTTATAACTATTGACCGGATTTAATCGCGTTAAAAATATGTTAGAATTGCACTAAAAATATGTTAAAGTTACATAATAAAATCATATAAAATATATAATAATTGTTAATTACTTACTTCGATAACATGATGGACACTAACAAATTACGTAGTTCTAAAATAGTATTAAATAAATTAAAAATTAAAAAAAGTATTTAAAAATTCAAATATATTATTTTTCTGAATTATTATTATGTATAATTTGGTATTTATTTGACATTATTCCTAAATTGTGTAGCTGTAAAATGTATCACCTGTCACTTAAAATATTTTAATACTTAATATAATGAAAAAGTACGTTCAACGTCTACACTAATTGTTGTCATTGCATATTTAAAATAATTTAAACATTTTGGCGTTATATCTAAGCTAACATTTTGATTTCCAGCCATAACCTCAGAGTAAGTTTCATAGTTGTATATCCTTCATTTTTTTTTCTATAGTACATATTTAAATTAACTTTTAGCTATGTTCCCATTGGGCCTTGGAATATTCATCAAAATATTTTCAATTTCACAAAATATCTTTTAACTATTATGTAATTGGCAATTTCATTTTTCTAAACTTGTGACTTTTAAACTTGATAAATATAATTTTAAAAATGCAATACGAATTAATAATTAGTAGTTTATCACGTGAAAATCACGTCAACAATAATCTACAACCATCACAAAAATTACAAAATCGTTGAAAATGGCAACAAGTTAAATAAAAATTGTTTGATCAGATTTGGTTTACCTGATATCATAGGTATGATACCTAGATAATTGCATTAAGGGTGTAAGAAAGTAGTATAGTTATATTATAATAAAATATCGATATACCAGCTATAGCCATGCAGAAGGTAAAATATTAATATAATATTATTGTAATTATAATATATTTTATATAAAAATTGTACTAGGTAGATCGCATACTATTTTAAAAATATATAGACCACACCACTGACCCAATTATGTTTTACATAATACACAGAAGTAGGTAGGTAGGACAAGCGGCGGGCAAGGAAGATTATCCCATTGCTCAAGAGTTGCCTAAATGTTACTCCTGATGTTTGAACAATCCTGGGAAAAATTTCCCAAATTTCAGTTTCCTATGTAATATCTTTCCAGTGAAATATTTTCCTTAATTTTAATTTTCTGTGTAATACATTTCCAGTTAAATACTTTCCTGAAAAATATTTTCCTATGTAATAACATTCCAGTTCAGTACTTTCTTAAGAAATATTTTCCCAAAAAAATATTTCCTGAACTTTTTTTTCCCATATAATATCCTTCCATAGAATAATTTCCTGAAATTTATTTTCCTGAATAATATTTTCCCCAAAATATCTTTCCCGAATATCAGTTTCCTGTGTAATAATTTTCCTGGTTATACTTACCTATATATTATTGTTCCTGTTAAATGTATTCCCGGCTTTTACTTTCCCGATTTATACAGCCCCCCCATTATTTTTTTATTAAAAAGTATAGGCCACAACTATAGGGTAAGTACAGGTCACGGGGTATAGCCTATCGCAATATCGCCTATATGTAACTATGATATCTATGCAATTTGCTGATATCTCTATTAATTAATCTATTATTGTACCTATAACTTAGTCATAATTACCTACACTCAAGTATTGTCACGGTTTGTTTTATCTACTTATTGAAATGTATAGTGGATAAAAAAATGTGCACATTTTCGAGATTTTTGGTGTATTTTGGTATGCCTATAACTTATAAGTATAATAGCTCAAAAAGAAACAAAATATTTTGAAAATTGTATGGTGTAGGTACCTATATGAAATGCTATTTGCTAACATAACAATTATATTTGTCTACGGTCAGATTACGGGGGAGGGATCTACCGGTCCAGTACGCTTGACCACCCCTACCTCACCGCCTTTTTTGGACATTTCCCTTACCAAACCTGCCAATATTTCCCAGCCCCATAACCACGGCTTTCTAGTTGCTGGACGTTCCCACAGATAAGAAATAGTTGAGTCGCCCTGGTACAATTTTTAATTTGTATTTTTATCATAACTATGCAGTATTGACTATTGAGTATTTCAGTAGTTAGTAGACAGGCGCGTACACAAAAAAATATTATTTTATTTTTAAATTTTGGTGGGAAGGTTAAAGTTGTACACTTTCATACTTATAGTTATTTTAATTTCAATTGGATGATATTTATTTTCTCATTAACAACTTAAATATTTTAAATATTTTGTGGGGAGTATCTACAGTTTCAAAGCAAACTTCCAACAATTAAAATTAAAATACAAATTTACATAAACAAATTATTAGGTGATATATTTATTTTGTAGTACAAAATCTAATTATCGAGGTTTATATTGAGGATTATTTTGGATTGAGGTGAGGATTTTGGTTTAGAAATTTTTTTTAAAATAGAATTTTTGTTGAATATAGTGTTAGGTAGGTACCTATAGATCTAGTTCGCTCACGCGAATTTTTAAATTTTTTTGTCGGACACCAATGTTTTACAACCAGTTAAGATTTAAGAACGATGGTGCGAAAATTAATTGCCAGAAATTGTTATTTTTTAGGGTATAGGTAGCCTTACAAAGTTCTCAATTTTCGGTGTCTTGCGCGCACGTACAAGACAGTACATAACGCTTATAGTTTACAGCACTAAGGTTTAACGTATTTTCAATTTTTTTTTTTTTGAAATAGGTAAATCGACGTTTTAAATATTATGGTGCAATAATCATAGTGGTTTATTTACATAATAAGTCTGAGGAATATTTTAGATGTTAATTGTCCGAGCGAGGGAGGGACCACGCCAGGGTGTATAATATGACAATACCAAAATTTTAATTACCTAGCTATAACTTTAAACTAAGGTCTAAGGCTGTCCGCCAAATTCAGACTTCCCCACTGTTTTCAGCATGTTTAACTACATAGGTACGTTATAACAGAAAAAAATTGAAAAATTCACATGGACGCCAAAGTAGCTGGGTCGTGTACACTCGTGGTCGTGGTAGTTGTATTCATAACATTTTATATGCAGAACATTATAATATTGTCGTTGTAGTATACCATCGGACTAGTTGTAAGTTCAATGTTGTAGTCGTAACATTGTACAATGTACATCAGGAGTAATATAAATATATAATATAATCGGAATTCGGAGCATTATTGTATCGTAATAGTATAATCATAGAATAATCTATGGTATAATATCGGACTAGTATTGTTATCTGTAAAATTTTATAATATTCGGAGTAATAATTGTTCGGAGCATTATGTTATCGTGATAGTATAATATCGGATTAGTTGTATTCGTAACATTTTATATTCGGAGTAATATGTTCGTGGTAGTACATCATCGTGACAGTAGTAGCAACCCGTAAATTTTGGAATAACAAAAAAAGTCCATTCATATTATTAAAAGTTTTATTTTATTATATTGCAGTCGGTGAAGTGATGTTTTGTGTTTCTCAGTATTAATATGTTGCACAACACTAAAGCGTTTTACACTCGCGACTTTTACTTCGCAAACCTTACAAAATAATATTTTATTGTCGGCCGAGAATATATTTTCACCAAATTCATTTACTAATTGTCTTAGTTTACA